TGACCATTGCAGGGTCATGATCCTATTGGTCAGGGATCGCAAAGAGTTGCTATCGGGTGCTACCGACGTTAAAGTCCAACAGTTGATTCATGACAGTTCACGCCCAGGTGATCTGATTATCTCTACAAATGGTTCTCTTTTGAGAGGAAAGAGAAGTTCCTGGGTTTCGTAGTGAAAGCCAGTGGAAAATCTTTAGTGCAGGACAGCCTAGCATACGACATCACAACATCCAGCATGAGACTGGAGGTGGAGGAGGTCACTGAAGCTCTCCGGTGGCTCAAGAACAAGATCCGTACACATGTCTTAATTGTAATATACTCTGAAAGCCTGCTGAGAAGGTGAAGATAGGGATGCTTCGAGCAGAGTGGCAAGCTTCACTGGGAAGGTCACGGGTAGTGAGCATACTTTGGATCTTTTCTCCTGGCTTTGCCGGTGTTTTGTAGAATGAACAGGCAGAAAGATTGGCTGGATCTGAACCACTGGGTGGTGAATTAGTATACATGACAAGGCAGACGTAGTCAAGGCCCCCTTGAGAACATGTAACAACATCAGAAGAGGAACAAGGTTATTATGGCCTAGAAAGAATGATGAACCTGTGTGTAACCAGAGGGTCTGCCCGGCTCACGATACTCAGAGAAAAGACAAGACGGACATATAACCAGATTGCGACCGGTACCTTTATTATTGGAGCTCTGCGCTGGCTGCTTAAGATCGGGATGGAGCGCGTATGGGAATGTCCTAAGTGCTGTCATGTCAATTCTTGAATCAAATCAACTAAACTTTTATTTGCATGTTGTGTCAAAGTGTATCTTGCAAAATTATTAAAAATTTTTCTTGATGTTTTTTTCTTCTTTATTTTTAATTTAAAATGGTTCTTCTCTGGTTTTGTAGGTGGTATGGAAACCTCTTAAGCTTTTCAAACTGAGTAAAAGATTTATAATGTCTACGAAATCCAAGAAACTCCAAAACAAATTTTCTCAATATTTTTTTTTTAACGGGGTTGCTTTTCGTTGCTTTGTGTGTTATTCGTACGCCCATATTTTGAACCTTTCTTTAGTTTCACAAGTTCTTTTTCGCTGTTTCAGCCCTTGAGATTTACAGTGCAATCCATAATAGGCTTACTTGCCATCATGTTTTTGTACCAACTCCGCAGTATGTTCCATTCGGATTAGGTTTTCATTACATGAGTCTTTGAATGGCTTTTAATTATGAAAGCCTCCTGCCTAGTGTGGCTCCAACAACAAAAATGGGTATATTTAAGATATTGTTTGATTTTCTACCATTAAGTAGAGTCTGGTTTATTTTCAGACTGATACAACTGGGCTATGGCTAAACTAGTCGGTATTTTTTGTCTCTGTTATCACCGAATGTTTCGGTTAATGTTGTCAGTACAAAGAATATTTTTTGTTTGTGTGATTGAGAAAACAAATACTGTTTCAGTGAGTTTTGTTTGTTTTAATTTTTGGTGGATATGACTGGGCTATGGCTAGAGTGGTCGGTACTATTGTCTCTGTTATCATAGAATGTTTCACGGCGTAACCACTGCTCTTGGGAAGGAGTCTGGACTTCCTTATGCTAGGCTAAGGAAATGCAGTCTGAAAACAATGCTATGACAGGGTAGACAGGAGGTATAAACTTGGCTGGTAGCTAGTCTGTGGTGGAAGCTCTAACAGACGGACAGACACAACACCGCTCTGCCGATCCCTGCAGCTTCTGTTGCATGTTTTGTTTCAAACATATTAATTAACCTTTCCTTTGGAGTAAACAAGGCAGGTTGCGCGTGTGATAATTCTGCATGGGCAACATTTGGCCGCTATAATAACTAACGCTTAGGTTTTGTGCTCTAGAGATGTTGAATTAGTACATTTTACCCCACCAGGACATAACACAAGCGATAAACACCCGATGACACAAAGTGCCACTATGTGGATGAGGATCACCCATTAGGCCATATTTATGGCCGGGCTATATTGCGGCCCCGGCAGGAGCCAGGGTGGGGCTTCAAAATAACGAAAAATTGCATCCCACAAAGGAATGACAAGATATAGATGACGAATTTCTGCTTTGGCCTTAAGTGGCTGAGACGCATATGCCTCTCTATAACCAAATATTACACACCCCTCTTGAAAAACGTTGACGTCTGTAGCTTAGACGTTACGAACGCACTTCGTAATGCAGGAGTACCGGGTTCGGTACCGGGTTGGATACCAGCTGCGGACGATTTGAATTACATCGGTTTCGACAGTGGTACCGAGAGCTGACCGTCAGGGACAAACTACTGAACGTAAAATATGTCTAGAAAAACAACAACAGTCAAAACATCTTGGTGTTGGTTTTGCAGTGTTACGTAAAGGATAAATATTGGTGTGACCAACCTTTGGAGTAAACAAGGCAGCTAGAGAAGCGGGATCATTAAATATGAGCAAAACATGGTCTCTACAGTACTGCCCTGCATTTCTGCTATGGAGAGGAGAAGGTTTATTCTTGGCCTTAACAGGCCTCGAAATCGAATCGAAAGGTTGACGGTTAAACTTTTTTCAACTCATGTAGGTCTGCCCGTCACACTCGCCATCGCCAATGACGGTGATTCACATGTCACACTCTACAGCACATTCTCATAGTATCGTCTAGAAAGACGTTTGAGGTTTGAAAAACAGATCAACATCATGGCACACGGGTAGTAACCCATAAGTGCTCCGTTCTTCTTCTAACTCGTCTGAGTCCGAAGAAGCTCAGCACAGTGCACAGGCTCTGTAGCACCGGTGAGGATCCTGAAATATTTTGGGTGGATTTTTAAATCCAAATTTTGCCCGGGCAGCGCCGTTAGACTACTCTTTTTGATTTCCAACTGCCAAGCGATTGTTTTAATGTGCGCAACAAGGCACACGGGCGTCCAATCTCACTACCCAGAAACCAGCTGGAATCCTGCTGAAGTCCAAGTCCACGTGAAAAAATATCAGCCCTTACCAGGGATTGAAACCGGAACCCTTTAGCACTCGATACACCATGCCTAGTGACGAAGCAGCCCCTAGAAAGACGGACAGATGCCTCAGCCATGTCATGTAGTATTTACTCATTTTTATAATCCTAGGGCCACGTTAGCGCAGTCGATAGGAGGCTCGCTTTCAAATCCAGCTGCGACTCGTTGCAGCCCAGGGTCGCTGTTCGAAACCGGGCGGTTGCATGTGATTCACCCAGCCTCTGGGTAATGGGTACCAGAGTTAACACTCTGGGGTAAATGGAGGAACGTCGCTGTAGCTACGGAGCTGCGTGCGGACGGCGACACAGGCGGGCAGTTTCTTATCAGCTGTCTGTACTGGTGGCAGAGCACTTATAACCGTGTGCAATGACGCTAGTTCACATCTCCCGACTTTTATAGTTCTCCTTTACATGTATCAGCTTTGGTCTCTCCTTATTGTTTGAACCTCGTGTGGCACAGCACAAGGTCAATCCTGCCACACTAAAAAGATGGTTACATTATGTGTCCTATCCACCACCATCGTCTTTTCCTCACTTCTTTATTGGTTATAATGTGTGAAACTAAAAACTAAAAATAAAGAATCATTTTCCACACCTTTAGGCATATTGAGCATACAGGGCTGGACCTAAATTTTTATAGGCCAATCGGCACTTTGCTTCGGTGATATGGTGAGCATCCTGCCGGCCGCCTTTACTTCCCAGGACTGCACCTGGTACCCACTCAAGGCTGGGTCGACCTGGGAATCAAGGTCATTAAAAAAAAAAGTCCGGCTTTCTTAGAAAGCGAACCCACAAACTTCCGATCCGCATGTGGGCGTCTAGCCGCCGAGCGACTGGGGGAGGGGGGGGGGGGAAGAAAAAGGGGGGGGGGACGGCAACAGAACTTTCTAAACACCTATGCTTTTTTTAAAATGGCCTAGTTCATAAAAGTTAGCATGTGTTTAGAAACGAATTCTTGCTAAATATAGAGCATTTCATTACTTGATTACTTTGTGAAACCTTAGAATAACTATGATAATTTTTAGAGGTCTCTTTAAAAAAAAGCTGATAAAATATTAATATACAGAGCCAGGTTTCTTATGGGATTCAGTTTCCATGATTTGCCATGTAAGCTAAACTGGCGTGTCAGATGAAGCTAACAGCAAATGTACAGCATGTACAAGCATGTACAGCTAATGAAATATATCTACCCGCCATATTCTCATTAAGGAATAACATATTGATTATGTGTTGTTGTTGTGGTTGTTGTGGTTGTTGTTGTTGTCTACGTTGTTTTGCTGCAAATGTACACAAAATAACTTTAAAAAAAAAAAAAAAACCAAGTCAAGAGAGATAACGAAATTAATTAGGCTGATTAAACTCTGTTTATTCACGTCAGCTATTACTTTGAAGAAACAGCTGTGTGAATGAATGAATGAATGAATGAATGAATGAATGAATGAATGAATGAATGAATGAATGAATGAATGAATGAATGAATCAATCAATCAATCAATCAATCAATGAAACTAGAAATGACACACTTAAAATTCCCTTCGTGATCTATTCTATTCTTCGATAGCCAACCAAGCGTTCCAATAGATGATGGTGTTACCTATACAATCCTGCATGTCTTTCCCTTGTGCGTTAAAAGACGTTCAAACCTGCACCCATCCATAGTTGAATCAATGTGAAGTAATAATATTGTTCAACAAATAAATACTATGCTAACAACTTTATCAATACTAGCCTCAGACAGAAAGGGTGAATTTTTGTTTTTACTTTTCTCCTATTCCTTTACCTCCTTCTTTGTCTACTTCCACCACCACCACCACCATTACCACCACCACCACCACCAACACCATCACCACCATCATCACCACCACCACGACTACCCCCAATACCATCATCACCACCACCACCATCACCACCACCACAATCATAACCACCACCACCATCACCACAACCACCATCACCACAACAACCACCACCATCACCACCACCACCATCACCACCACTACATTCACTACCACCACCACCAGCATCACCACCACCACCATCACCACCACCATCACCACCACTACCATCACCACCACCACCACCACCATCATCACCACCACTACCATCACCACCATCACCATCACCACCATCCCCACCACCATCACCACCACCACCATCATCACCACCACCACCATCACTACCACCACCACCACCACCACCACCATCACCACCACTACCACCACCACCACCATCACCACCACTACCACCACCACCACCATCACCACCACCATCACCACCACCACCACCACCACCATCACCATCACCACCACCATCACCACCACTACCATCACCACCACCACCACCACCATCATCACCACCACTACCATCACCACCATCACCATCACCACCATCCCCACCACCATCACCACCACCACCATCATCACCACCACCACCATCACTACCACCACCACCACCACCACCACCATCACCACCACTACCACCACCACCACCATCACCACCACTACCACCACCACCACCATCACCACCACCATCACCACCACCACCACCACCACCATCACCATCACCACCACCATCACCACCATTACCAACAACACCACCACCACCACCACCACCACCAACACCACCATCACTACCACCACCACCACCACCGTCAACACCACCACCACCACCCCTGGCAGTGCCCTTCGATCTTAATGGGAGTTGA